TCATACATCAGCAAATTGCAACGCATGATTAGTACCCTTTGGATCCCTCTCAGCTGTGCTAAAAGCTAATTTTAATAAGTTTGTTTGCACTAAATACAAAGATTATTTTGCTATTTATCTCGTGATGGTGTAATCAGGGTTCATAATGCAGAATGAGGTCTACATACTGTCATTTATTTTTTCTATTTTACATAATAGCGAACAAGCAAGACGTGTGAAACAAATAATATGCTGTATTTTTAAAGGGCCTGCAAAGTGATCCATTTTGGTTTAACATTATATTAAGCTGGCAATTACATGCAACTCTACAGTGTACAGTACAAAGAAAAATACTTGGAGCACAGACAGGCAGACCCATCTGCTGATGTGATGGAGCCCAGTCTCAGAGTACTGCCCGTACCTTCCTATTGGTGGCCCTGCCTGCCCCCACCACCACCCTCACCATGCTCCCCTAAGCTCTGGCCCACTAGTCATGTGCCATTATGTTAAATACACTATGGGCATGTGGTACTTGAGAAACAGTGGTATGAAGCATAAGGGTTTTCTGAGATTTTGCGACTTTGCTCAGTGATGTGCGAACTTGGCGCTCTATTTCAAATTTCAGTGTTTTTTGGTTTAATTATATTATTGAATTACATTTATTATTATATTATTATTTTTTATGATTATTTATTAAATTACAATTTATGATTTCGTGTTTCAAGTTTTAACATACCCGAGATGTTTACTAGACTCTTGTTCGAACAGATTTCAGTGAGTTATTCCTAAAAAATACATATTTCCATGCAAAAAAATGTACCGCTTTGAGCACAGAAATACTGACATAATCAGACCGCTAGGGAGGTTAATTCACAGCACATGATTCTTAGCAGTAAGCCCAACAGCTGTATGTGAATCCAGAGGAGGGGAAGAGGGCTTGAGCTGGAGAAGGGAGGTAAGGATGTGGACTAGAGGGAGAGAGGGTGAGGGTTGTGGACTTGCTCAGCTTTACTGCTTGCATGTGCGGAGCCCCCCCTCCGCTGACCGCCCTCTGTCTATCCCCTCCCTCTATGCCTCCACCAGCTCTGTAAGTATTTGAAAAAGGACAGGGAAGTACTGAAGGCAGGTCAGGGTGCCTGTGAAGGGGAGGTTAGATATTCTGCTGTGGTATTGACAGGCAAGGCCGCCTATGGACTCCAGGGTCAGGTATGGGAGAACTGACTGTACCTTCCAATCAGGTCATGATCATATGGTTTTCAACATTTTATTAGTATTAGAAGGAAGTTATCCATCTTCTTTTGACCTCTTTGTTTCATATCACCTTTGGAGCCCCAAGAATGATTCATTTTACTGAGAATAAAAATTGATAATCTAGGATTTAGCTTTGTCGTGACCCATTGATTACACTTGGTATTATGGCTTCTCAGGCCAGTCTAATGCAATATTTGCACTATACTGAATGGTAGTGTTTTTGTGCGCAAAGTTCAATAAATAACAATGAGAAGAGGGTAATTCTGTGGTTTGCCAGTGATACATAAGTTTCTCTCACATTTTCAGTTAGCTGGTGCATACAAATACTCTTTAAGTACTCTTTGTTTCGAGTTACTAGTTTTTAAAATTACATTTTATATGATGTTTTATCATTCATATAGAAGTGTTACTTTACAACTACACATGATATCACATGGTACACCAGCACAACTGCTTTTGCAGAGCCTTCTGGGTTTTCTATACAGAACAGGCACAGTGTTTCCCTTTAAACTGTCTTTTTAATTGAATCTTTGAACAGAACAGCTTAGGGAGTGGGTGGGAGAGGGTTAGTCACTATTCTGGCTTATTCAGTTTTTTTGTGTAATTTCAGCTTTGAGAATTTCAGCTTTACCATTTCAGCTCTGCAACCTATGTTTTTTCAGCAAAGCAGTTAAAGGATATCTGCACTCTCAGCATATGGAAAAATCAAAAGCAGAAAGAAAAGGACATTGCTTTTGGAATCTACTGTAGAGACCTTGTATGTGATGGTCATGTATTGCTAGTAGTAGTTAGTTGCATTCAGGCAATCCAATTTTTCCTCTCGCTATAATCCAGTCACCATAGCACTATGATGGAGTAGGATAGTTTCACAGATGTTCACGTGTCCCATCATATTCTTTAGAAATTAACATCTGTCTTGACACATTGACACATAACACTATGTGTTATTGACATTACATAACACTATGGCAACCCATTTGGCTGGGGTATGTCCCTGATGCTCATTAGAACTGAAGATGCTGCTTGGATGAGTGGCGACATTTCCAAAATATTATAGAGCTAGTGTAGTTAAATGTGACAAATTAGTGTTAGCTAATTATTTTCTAGAGCAGGGGTATCCAAACCTTGTAAGCAAAGAGCCAGTTTACTGTCCTCCAGACTTTAGGGGGGGCGGACTGAAGCCGGTGGGAGTAGAAAATGTCCCGGGGTCAGTGCCCCATCATTGGTTTTAATAGGAGGAACAGTGCCCCATTGTTGATATCAGTGAGAGGTATAATTCCCCATTGATGGTGTCAGTAGGGGTTATAGTGCTCCATCATTGGTGACAGTTGGTGGAATAGTGCCCCAAGGGCAAGATAAAGACAAGTAAAGGGCCACATCCGGCCCCCGGGGCTGTAGTTTGGAGACCACTGTTCTAGAGGAAGGGTAAATCATATCCAGCAGCGGTGATAGACAATCTGTTTCACTTTGAGTGCCACATATGCTGCTTTACATTATTCCATGGAACAAATAATTTTCAACTGTAACTGCATTTTTTGTAAAGAAAAAATAATTGACAAATCTACAGTATATATTATTTCGGTTACATATAAAGCAAAAGTAATAATGTAATACTCCATTATCGTCATTTATGTTATTCAACATTGAGCTCTTCTGAGCAGGCTCTTCTTTATTTTCTATTTTAAAAAACACTGTAAAATGAAAAAAAAAACAGAAAAAAAGAAAACATAAAACACTAGATTTTACCCATCAGAGATAGATAGCAGCAAAGAACACTTGTGGCACTGTGGTTTAAGTGTATTTATCAATTGCCTAGTCCCCTATTGTTGCTTTATCAATCATCTAGTCATTTATTCATTGTTGCTTTAACAATAACCTAGTCCTCTGATGTTGCTTTATCAATCACCTAGTCCTCCACTGGCCACGAGCAGTTATAAAGATGGTTGGATGGCTAGAGCAAGAATAAATATTTTCAGTTCACCTAATGTAATGTTTCAAAATACTTATATCAAGGGTGATAATATACGTATAACTTTATAAAATCTAAACCAAACACACATATATTTAAATCTGAACTCCACACAGATATAAAAGAGATAACTTATTCCAGCTATGTAATCATTAATATATCATGAAATACTGTATATGCTTTTAACAACTTGTCTACTGAGCACTTATACCCCCTTCCTGCCCAGGCCAATTTTCAGCTTTCAGCGCTGTTGCACTTTGAATGACAATTGTGCGGTCATGCAACACTATACTCAACCACACACAATACCAGTGCTGAAGCAAAATGAAAAGGAATACAAATGTTGTGCTCTGTTATTAAATTTGATGTGTGTTGGTTATATGTATCCCAATACACAGGTTCACAATAGTATTGCAAAAATGTTTTAGAGGGTCACACCACTGTTCCTCAGTGACACACCAATAAAGAAAAATAGCAATTCATAAATCAAACATAGAACCGTATGGAATTCCACCACCTATATGTAAATATCCAAATAAAATAAGTAGTTATATGTAGGAGGGTTCCACCATCTTTGCAAATCTTGCCATCTGTTTTCACTCGTGAGTGACAATAAATAGCCTTGTGAATTTGGTGCCACATTTGTATTCCATTTGAAATATATTGTTAGTTACACTAAGCATGTCCAAGGACTGAAGACTGATCACACCACAGAGTTGAAATCTACAGGGATGTAACAGCACTGTGGCTTAGTGGTTAGTACTGCTGCCTAGCAGCATTAGGATTGCTGGTTCAAATCCCAACCATGGCACTACCTGCATGGAGTTTGCATGTTCTGGCTCTGTGGGTTTCCTTCAAAGACATGCTGGTATTTGTTTTGGCTCCTGTCTAAATTGTCCCTAGTATATGAATGTGAGTTAGGGACTTTACATTGTAAGCTCCTGGAAGGCAGGGCCTTATGTGAATATACAATATATGTGTAAATTGACGGCACTATATACCGTATTTTTCGCTCCATAAGACGCACTTTTTTCCCCCAAAAAAAGGGGGGAAAATGTCAGTGCGTCTTATGGAGCGAATATAAAGCGGCCGGTCCGGTATTTCTGCCGCCACCATCAGAATACCGGGCCGGCCGCTCAGCTGTTCTCTCCTGCAAGGCCTTACCTGTTCCTCACTCCAGCGCTGCACAGTCTTCCCGCGCTGGCTTCTCTGACAGCCGGGTGCCCACTGCACATGCGCTGCGCTTTGTGAATGGTCCAGTGTTTTCTGGGACACATGACAGGTCCCAGAAGGCGCCGGGCCATTCACAAAGCGCAGCGCTTGTCGCGCATGGGCAGTGGGCACCCGGCTGTCACAGAAGCCGGCGCGGTTAGAAGAGGGAAAGACAACGCCGTGGAAGTGGGAGCGGGTACCTGTCAAATTCAGGTACCCGCTCCCCCTCCCTCCCCAAAGGTCAGCAGTCTCTGGTCATCCCCTGCACTGTCTGCAGTCTCTGGTCATCCCCTGCATTGTCTGCAGTCTCTGGTTATTCCCTGCACTGTCTGCAGTCTCTGGTCATCTGTACTGTGTCCCTGGTATTTTCCCTGTACTATGTCCACAGTCTCTGGTCATCCCCTGTACTATGTCCGCAGTCTCTGGTCATCTCCTGTACTGTGTCCGCAGTCTCTGGTCATCCCCTGTACTGTGTCCGCAGTCTCTGGTCATCTCCTGTACTGTGTCCGCAGTCTCTGGTCATCTCCTGCACTGTGTCCGCAGTCTCTGGTCATCTCCTGTACTGTGTCCGCAGTCTCTGGCCCATCTCCTGCACTGTGTCCGCAGTCTCTGGTCATCTCCTGTACTGTGTCCGCAGTCTCTGGCCCATCTCCTGTACTGTGTCCGCAGTCTCTGGCCCATCTCCTGTACTGTGTCCGCAGTCTCTGGTCATCTCCTGTACTGTGTCCGCAGTCTCTGGTCATCTCCTGTACTGTGTCCGCAGTCTCTGGTCATATCCTGTACTGTGTCCGCAGTCTCTGGTCATATCCTCCTGTACTGTGTCCGCAGTCTCTGGTCATCTCCTGTACTGTGTCCGCAGTCTCTGGTCATCTCCTGTACTGTGTCTGCAGTCTCTGGTCATCTCCTGTACTGTGTCTGCAGTCTCTGGTCATTCCCTGTACTATGTCTGCAGTCTCTGGTCATTCCCTGTACTATGTCTGCAGTCCATTGGTTCAGAATATTTTTTTTTCTCGTTTTTCGCCTCTAAAACCTAGGTGCGTCTTATGGTCAGGTGCGTCTTATGGAGCGAAAAATACGGTAAGTCCCAGAACTAATAATAATACATGTTTTTATATATGTTTTTTGCAATCTGGTACATTGTAGATGAGTTTCATGTAACGGAAACAAAAGAGCTGACATTACAAATAAAAAATGTGTGGTCTCTCTCTTCCACCCCCTTTCCTGGCCTGCAGAATTCTATGCTCAGATATGGGCATGTTAGTGGTTTTGGGGGGAAGCCACACTTTTTTTTTTATTTTTTGGCTATGGGGTTCCCCCTCAAATTCATGACAGACTGAAGGCCCATGCTCTTTGCTACATGTTGGCTATGCTGTTTTCATTCTGCTGTCATTGAGGATGAGTCTCTGGTTATTATAATGCCAGCAGGTGCAGTCTCCTATCTGCCCACAGTGCGTCAGTCAGTGCATTTAGGAGGTGCCTGTCCATGTCCCAGTGTAGGTCCATGCAGAACACATTCATTATGTTCTCATTTGGTGGGCTGCAGAAGAACACGCTGCACTGGGGGGAATAGATGGGAATACTGGACATGTTTGGATGATTGTGCTTGTCAGCAATTTGGGTGAAGCATCTGTCACAAATTTGAGATTTCCTGCTCTGTACCCTGCACATGCCCAAGGACTTACAACTTGCTTTTTTTTTCATGGAGCATTCCCAGGAACTCTGACATTTCACATTTTCTGTTACACTGTACAGGTACATATGCTTAGATAACTTTTGCTTTCTTTCTATGCATGCTAATGGACTTAGATCTTTGGCCTTCAGTCTGTGAATTGATGCACATAGCCAAGGGCTAACACATTTGGGGGGGGGGGGGGAGTATTTGCCTGCTAATCAGGTGCAATCACTTGAGGAAGAGACAGATTGATTGGACGTGTCCTTCACTGGGTGTGCTAACAAAACAACCTATGTTATATAAAGGACTGCAGTAAAGGGGGGTTTGCTTGGCCTGAGAGATTATTTGTTGTCAGGCCTTGGTGGGTGGGTTTTTTTTTTGGGGGAGGGAGGAGGATATTGTGCATGATGACCAACACTTGATGTTTGGTTTGTGGTCATTGTAATTTGTCTCTCAAAAGTGGATTTTTGTGAGCATGGCTTCAATTTTGTGTGTATTTTTCCAGTCTGACCATGTATTTGTTTGTGAGCATCTGCTAACCCTTGTTACTAACAATGTCAATTGTTCTACTTCTATGACTCCTAACTTTGATAAAATTTGCTTAATCATGTAGACAGAAATGCAGCTTCCTTCTTACCATAATCAGAAATGTATGTGTGTGGGAACCGGATGGAGTTCATTGGTGCTATGTGTTCAAGTGGAATGTAATAACATCCATACAAATCTACAAAATATTTTATTCTGCACACATGCAAGGTGTTAAATGGAATACCCCCCTCCCCCCAAAAAACAAAAAATCCCATTAACAGCTCCAAAGCTAAATTTCAAGGAAAACTGAATTCAGCTGGTGGATAGGTGAAGTATTTAACATGTTAACCTGGGCCTTTGGGGTTTTTCTTTTTTATTCACTAGTTGCAATCTGAGGAACTAAAGTCAAATAGTTTTCATGATAAAATATAATACACATAAGAAAATCAATTTGCATATGTGGGAGCCATCATTGTGCATAAAAAATAGTTATCACACACAAATAGTCTGAGGGTCAGCTACCAGACTGGCATTGTGTTGGCAAATTTGCAAAAGGAGATTCGCATTCTCCAGAGACATAAGAACAAAAGTTCAGTTCCTTGGCTAAAAGTAATCACAGCAGCTGGAGGCAGGAGACACTTACTAAACTCAAAAACACCAAATAGAGGTGTCAATTGTGTGTATTTATTCATGCCACTGACTATTTCTGCCTTCATGACCTGAAGAGGAGGAGGCACCACTGCTGGCTGTTTGCCAGAGCCTTCTGCAGAGCAGAGAGAAGGGATGCGCTTGGCTTTTTTGGACCATGTGCATACTTGCAGGATGTCCATTGCAGGTGTTGCTTAGGGAAAATTCTACACCTCCTATGAGCTCATCCCTACCCTCAAGGAGCTTACATTCATACTAGTGCCAAGTAATCTACCAGAATGTCTTTGGAGTGTGGTAGGAAACCCACACAGGAAGAGAGTGAACATGCAAACTCGTGGTGCCATGAGTGGAATTTGAACCAAAGACCCTGGTGTTACTAGGCAGAAGTGCTAACCACTGTGCTGTCAATAACCTTAATTAGAATATATAGTAGTACCATGATTCAAGAATTAAGATATATAATTATAAGAAAATCTGAATTAGACATGAACAATTATTTGTCATATAACAGATATAACTGTCATGGATTTGAAGGGGAACCCCTTAACCAAAAATAAAAGTAACTTACCCCCAAAATCACTAGCACACCCTTATCTGAGCATACAGTTCTGCAAGCTAGAAAAAGGGGGTAGAAGAGCAAGCCCCACCACCTACACATGTTTTATTTGTAATGTCAGCTGTGTGAAACTTTCTAAAATGTACCAGATTGCAAAAAACACATATATAAAAATGTATTTTTAATAGTTCAGGTACTTATATAGTGCTGTTAATTTACACAGCACCTTACATACATATTGTACATTCACATCAGGCCCTGCCTTCAAGGAGCTTACAATCAAGTCCCTAACTCACATTCATATAATAGGGACAATTTAGACAGGAGCCAAAACAGATACCAGCATGTCTTTGAAGCATGAGAGGAAACCCACACAGGCAAAACATGCAAACTCCATGCATTTAGTTCCACGGTTGGGAATCAAACCACAAACCCTAGTACTGCTAGGCAGTAGTGCTAACTACTAAGCCACAATGCTGACCATAGCAGTGTCTAGAATATGTAGCACCATGATTCAAGAATTAAGATATCTCATTTTAAGTGGATATAAGAAAATTAGGCATTACACATTATTAGTCATATAACAAGATATATCTGTAATTTTTAGATATATATTTAACATTAGTAAAAAAAATAGTATGCATTACTCTGTAAAAAAAACACTACAAATCAGGAAAGAGAATTAATAATAGATTTAATATATAAAAAAAAAAATAAACCTCACCCGCAAATTGTTTCTTTTTTACACACACAAAGAAATGGGATCTTGGCTTAATCCTGTGCCTACTTGGGCCTAGGGACCAAGTTTAGCATTGCCTATTATGTAAAAGCGACTATGCCAATTTACTAAAAGGCATTTTTCTAACTGAAGTCTCTTTCCCGTTCAACACAACAAGGTCTTAATTGTTTCAATTAGGTGAACTTTGGTGTCTAACATCTATTGCTTCACCTTATTAGTAAATCGATCCCCTAGTGACAGAAAAAATTGCTGTGGAGAAAATCTGTGGATTTAAACTATTACACTATTGCAAAATTAGTTTTATTCTATATTTTAATGAGCTATTCATTTTTATTTTTTTTTATTAAATTCATTTTATTTATACATCAGTTAGTTTTACTTTTTGAAGTTCTGCTTTTAAACATTTATATGTTTTATTCTGCAGCAGTGTTTTCCAAGATATTTTGGGGTAGGAGAGGGGGTGTAAAACACGTGCTATTGACATTGAAAACTGTAATAATAGAAATCCAGCACCTCTTATGGGTTATAATTTGAAAGCATTTTTTTCACAGTGTTCCCTGTCATGCTATTATGTTATTCTAATGGACTAATGCTGGTCATACAGATGCCAATTTTCTGGCAATTTCATCAACATTCAAGCATCTTTCACTTAGAAATATAATCTAATGGATTAAGGCAACTGACTCCCATTTTGCACACTTATTTTTATTTAAATAACAGCATTAGCTTTTTGACCCATTCGATTATTTTTGAGACATGTATAAAACCAGGATACTGTAAGCTGTCCCATCAGAAATAACATCATTGGAAGAGTTTTTTCTGTTATCAGGATAGATATGCTGGGATAGTAGTTTTCACCCATATCTCCTAATAAAATTGGCATCCCTTGCATGCAGTTCTTGGAGAGATTGAACATTATAGGGGACCTTTTTATGTTGCTAGATAAACTGAACTCCTCAGCAGAATGGAAAAAAATTGATGCAAGCCATTTATTTCAACTAAACAGCATACATAAATAATCCCAAGAGCATAAATGAACAATCATATAAATATTAAATCAATATGTGGACAAATCATATGATGTGCTTTGTTTTTGTAACCATGGTTTCCAAAAATAAATGCATGCTTGCATGCTCAATATAATTTGTTTGCCCATACCATTTCAAGATGTCACTGTATATTGTTGCAATCTTCATATAATGTAAAACACCCCGCTCAATCATAAATATTTGAGAGGAGGTGAGAAGATCACTCATAGGAGGTGGTGGCCTCTTTATGAAGTCGGATGATGAAACACGTAGGGCAGGACTGAGATGTTAAGTCACCACACATGCCAGTGTTTGCAAGCTCATGGGCATTCTGTTGGAGCGAGCTGCATTTGATCTTAGTTTGCATACCTTGTGTCGGGAAAACACATTTAAATGTGAGTGCACTATTTTATTGAATTGAAGAAAGATTTTTAAAAGATTTTATGCTATGAGTACTCTTCTCTCTTTTCTCCTCTGAATATTTATGGTTGAACGAAGTGTTATATATTATATGAAAATTGCAAAAACATACAGTGAATGCTGCCAGGTCTGCAGATCATTACTCCCAGAGGGGAATGTGCTGTATGCTAGTCTGAAACACGCCAGCATCTACCTCTGGTGAGTTTGTTTAATACTGGGTGGTGGATTGTACAGTTGGTGTCTGGTGGAAGAACAGAAGAAGCATCTAATTAAGAAGTTTTGATAGTTTATTTGAAATAAGTGTGACAATATTGGGATTGGCTATAAATTTGTTGGATTGAACACGGACTCTTTATTTGCACATGGTGTTATTGTAAAAAATATTTGATCTGAATTAAGTTTTTTTTATTTAGGACACAAATATTTCTGCATTTATATATTTTTTAGGAGAATTTGGTTTATAGAATCTGACATTTGTAGAAAGTACACAGAGCTATTTCACACAATATTATTTGCAGATCACATACACTT